TAGTACTCTGAAATCTACGGGATATGTGGAAAAGGAGGCAGGAAGCCAGCCCCACACGTTGACAGTGATGATTATTGTTATTATTGTGAGGAAATTAAATTAGGAGTCATGTGCACACTCTCCTTATAATCAGTCAAAGGTTAAGGGTGAAGGTTCCGTTGAGCCTGTTATGTCAACACCAGTCCACAGAATCTCTGTTGGTTTGCGCCAACGGGCCCTCAGAAGCCATCTGACAGATTGCAGGTGCTAGGCCCCAGTTCAACATGAATGTGGGTAACCCTTCACACTGTCGTTTTACTTTAACTGAATATTACCTTTAAACAAATGAGAATAAGAATAAGGGGGCTGGAGAGATGGCTCAGTCGTTAAAGACTAGGCTCACAACCAAAGTATAAGAATAAGGAACGTCTACCTTCATTTCAGAGGACTAACAATGCATAGATGAGTTTGGAAACTTTGATTACAGTTGGGCTGAAATGAGCTTTTGGCTAGCAATGGGGAAATCCAATCTTAACACTGGAAAGTATAGAACTTCTTCGCAATACGTGTTTTGGCAAGGAAATGGAAAACTCATGTTCAGGAGTGTTTTCTAGTACGCCAGAAGTTAATTCCATACTTGAGCATTGATATTTAACAGGAAAGCAGTAACACTAATGTTTATCTTACTGTTTTACCTATGAATGAAATACCTGTATATTAATTACTCTTGTGTAAAGTAATTAAATGAGTTCATTTAGGCACTTAGAGACCAAAGGTTTTTCCTCTTCCTCAAAGGGAACTGGTAATTCCCTTTATGTAATTGTTACAAAATATTCTTCTTGACTGATTAGTGTGAAATCTTAAATTAGGAAGGTTCTGAAAGTACTCAAAGCTCAGAAGGTGAATTTTTTTCAATGTAACTCTGAATTTTACTCTTCAAATGATTCTTTCCTGTGTGAATACAATTGATTTGTTAATGGTTTCCTCTAGTTCTTTTTTTAAAAAAAATTAAAAATTTATTCTATGAGTTTTCCACATCATGGATCTTGATCCCATTCGTTCCCCGCCCCTTTGCATCCACCTTCTGCCCCGGTAGCCCCTACCCAAGAAAACAAAATTCAAGAGAACAAAAGGAAGAAAATAAAATGAGAAAATTTAAATAAAAAAAAGTGGGACAGAATTAAAAATCTCATCATGGAAGCTGCAATGGTTTCTTCTATTTCTCAGTGTTAGTGTAAAGGGGGCATTATCTTGAGTTCTTTGCCCTGCAGCACCAACAAGAGATAGATTTGGAACTGTGTTTACAGTGATGGGCGGCTTGCTGCCCACAGAACAAACTGTTGCAAGGGCAATGCATGGCTAAGGGCTGAGTCCTTGGGGACCTGCCTTCCTTGTCACAAAGTAGAGTTGCCTACTCGGGTCTGAAGCTCTAGGTCAACCCCTGAGGGTGACTCTCTCCTCGCCACTAAGGCAATCTTCCATGAGAAGCAATGAAAGCATACATTTAAAAGAAAGTCTTTTTTAATTGTGCATATTATTATTAAGAAAATGCAAGTTCGCTTAGTTTGGCACACCAAAATCACAGTAGAAACCATTTACACTTCTCGGATTGGCAGAATGCCCGGGATTTGAGCACTCATTGGCAAGGCTATGAGGAAACAGTCTCATATTTTACAGGCCAGGCAGCGGGTGGGGAGCCCCCCATAACTGGCAGCGTCCTGTTTATGCACTCAGGTTACAAAGACATGTGTTTGGCCTGTAGCATCATTCATAGTGTGAATTGCCATGGAACAAGGTAATTAAGGATGGCATCACTTGCAATAGCAAAATTATATAAACAAATCATAGCTTTCTCATATATCAGGTTTGAGGCAGCTGGGAGAAGAAATAAACGGTTGGAGATGTGAGAGACATCTATAAACGCGGAGAGCTCCCAAGGGAAAAAAAAAAGTTACACTATATTCGTATTTTGAATGAAATTGGAAAATAGATATCATTAGTGGTCTGCACTACTGAGTCTCTTAAACTTAGCTTCCTCATCTGTGGGTTGGACAATGTAATTCGATTTATCTCTTAAATTGAATTTCTTGAAAATGCCTTACAAAGTACTGAGCCCAAGACAGGAATTCATTCTCTTAAAATCACTACTGTGTCCTCTGTCCGTCTCAGGACTCGTCAAACTATGCCTTGAGAACCAAATACAGGCTCCAAGTGTTCCTAAAACAGGGCCACCGTTAAGCCTTTCTGTATGTGCACAGCTGCTTTCAGCACACACTAGCAGATATGGGTCAGCACAGCCATGACCAAATGGTGGCCTAAAACTTAAAATATTTATTCTCTTTATTACTTTGAGGAATTAAAAAAATGTTCACACCCATGGTCTGACAGCTTATCCCCCCCGCCCCCGCTCCCACACACACACCTTCAAGCAATTCTTCCAGCTTGATGGGAGGGAACTTCATACACTAGATCTCTACCTGGCCCACTGACACCTTCTCTTATGTCTTTGCAAAGGCCTCCCAAAAGCTGCAACCATCAATCACCACCGCCTGTGGTATGGAACTGGCCTGGCTTTGGCGAGTGGGATCAAGGCCCACGATATCGTCTACACCACTATGCCCCTGTATCACAGTGCGGCACTCATGATTGGCCTCCACGGATGCATCGTGGCTGGTAAGTTCTGTTTCTCTCAGCAGGCGTCAGGGGTGGACGTGCATTCACATCTGCTCATAAGGAAAAGCAGATCTGACTGCTTTCCTGTCTACCTGAGACAGTATTCACTTGGGCATCTATTGTAAGGCTCTGTGGTTCACACATCATGAACAAGCTTCTAAAATAATTTCTCTTTCCCCATGCCTTAATTGCTCAATCTATCTAGGGAGAAATTCCTTCTCTTAAGTTCTGTAAATCATTCTCCAACTTCAGAAACTTGAGCGTCACTCTCCGACAGCATCAACAAGCTTCTCTCCCAGCTGTCCTTGCTCTGTGTTTGCCCTTACTTCCTGAGCTAGTCAGAGTAACTGGCCTGCCATCAGCTCCTCTTCCCATCTCAAACATCACTGTCCAAATGATGCGGGAGAATTGTCTGTATTCTGTCAATCTGTTTATTTTGAATAAATACTGATTGGCTAGGCAGGAAGTATAGGCAGGTCAACCAGACAGGAAATGGGGGGGGATAAGAACAGGAGAATGCTAGGAAGGATGAAGCCTATTCCTCCCAGTCCAGCCCAGATCACCGAAGAAGCAACATGTGATCTGCCCCGCTGAGAAAGGTACTGAGCCATGTGGCTAACATAGATTAGAATAATGGGTTAATACAAGCTACAAGAGTTAACAAGAAGCCTGAGCTAATGGGTCAATCAGTTTTATAACTTATGGAGATCTTTGTGTGATTTTCTTTGGGGCTTACCAGCTGTGGGGTACCGGGCGGGACAGATACCCCAACAAGCAGGCCCCTTCATGTTACAGTCCAAACAGGAGTTGGCCTTGTCTGTCCTTCAGGAGAATTTCCATTGCTTTTACCCATAAAGGTTCAGTCCCATATCCCCATCTCTGAGAAACTAGTTCTTATTCTTTCACCGAGATAAATAACTTGACTTTTCTCCCAAGTGACATTTCATTTTAAATAAGCCTTTAAAATAGACACATTTATTTGAAATAAAACACATAGCACATGTAATAATGCATATACATATATGTGCATGTGTATATAATAGGCCGAATGTCTGCAATTCTGAGCCCTGGTGGGATAGTGTTAAAGGCAAGGCCTTTGGAAGTCTTAGGCCGGCTGTTGTGTGGACCTTTGAAGCACTGGATTGGGGCCTTGATAAGCAGGTAGAGCAGAGGCTCTCCTGGCTGGCTCTGCCCTCCCCCCTGAAGAGGATACGGAGAGATGATGGCCATTCCCAGATCAAAAAGAGCACCCTTGTCAAACACCGGACTTGCCGATGCCTTGCTTTTGAACCTCACAGCCTTCAAAAGAAGAAGCTATTCTTTGTAGTGTAAGCTAGCCTGACTGCGATCACCTTTTATAACAGCTTGAGCTTAACTTATGGTCCAAGCATCTATTTATTCCCTTCATCTACGTGATGAGTCCATCAGCTCTGAACTTTGCCTGGCATCAGTGCCACCCTTCAGGAGCAAAGCACGCCTGGGCATAGGCGTACTGCTGGGTCTTCCAGAGCAGAGTGGTTGGGGGGCTCTGAAGCGGACAAGTCAGTACCTTCAGCACCACAGACACCAGCAAAAGGAGGAAAGATCTTTTTGAGTGCCTCTTCTCAACACCAGTCCTCGGTATATTTAGGAGTGAACACAAGCGAGTGACAGGAGGAATGGGTATGGGCTTCCTGTTGCTGCTGGAACAAATTGCCGGAAGCGCGGCGACTTCCAGCAACACAGGTTTGTTTTCTCATTGTTCTGGAAGTCAGCTGACTCTGGCTGGGCTGCACTGCCCCCACAGGCTGTAGATCTGTGTCCTGGTCTCCTCCATTATAGAGGCTGCCTGAATGCCCCAGCTCGTGGTCCCGTCTTTCATATTCAAGTCACACCCTCCAAGTCCCCCCTTTATCTTTCCTCCTCATTAGATACCCTTACAACTGGGCAAGGAGATAGTCTGGGGAAACCTTCCCACCTTTAGACTCTCAGCTTAATCATGTAATCACATGCCTTGCCACACAAGGTAATATGGTCATGGGCACTGATGACAGCGCTCTCTCTCCTCCCCACTTCCTAGGATCCTTCTTCCTCACATCCACCTTATAAGCCCCACTAGGGCACCTGGATTGTATCAGAATGATGCCCCGCGCATCTGCTCCCCTTCCACACATCGGAGGCTCACATGGGTGGAAGCACATCTCCATTATGCTCTGCATTAAATGGAAGAGGCACTCCACACGTTGGATTTCATTCATTTGGAAGCTTCTCATCGGAGAGATTTTTTTTTTCTGTGCTCCCTCCCTGATGTTTTCTGTGCTTTTTACTAGGGGCTACTATTGCTCTGCGGAGCAAGTTTTCAGCCAGCCAGTTTTGGGATGACTGCAGGAAGTACAATGTCACTGTCATCCAGTACATTGGTGAACTGCTTCGGTACCTGTGCAACACGCCCCAGGTAACACTCCTTGTGTCTTAATATCGTTTCAAAATCGATAGGACATTCAAGTTTCCTTGGATTGTGCCAGGCTTCTGCTGACTCGTCTCTCGGTTCTCAGCTTAGATGCCAGTTGTCTGCTATAACACACTGATAGCACACTTACCTTAGATGCCAGATATCTGTTATAACACACTGATAGCACACTTACCTTAGATGCCAGCTGTCTGCTATAACACACTGATAGCACACTTACCATCTAGAAGGACCTGAATGGAGAGCAGTGACAGCGAATTTTATTGCAATTTTTATTCTCTGTTTTGGTACGTGTTTTCACACCTTCCCCTTCCCAGGTCCTCTTCTTTCCTTCCTGCTTGTGAAAAGCCACTGTCAACCCCAGCTCAAGCAATAGGTCATATGTCAGCCTATTTGAGTCTCTCCAGCAAAAGTCGTTCATCCCTTCTCCTATATTCCTGCCTCGTGTGTTGCACGTGCATTTCATACCTCCTGTCTCCCCTGGGCTCTGTAACTTGTTAGTCAAGAGACAAAACTACTCCACTATTTGAGCAGTGTAGTCTCAAAATGTCTGCTCCCAGCAGCCAACACTGACATGATACTAGTTTTCCTTATGTAGAGTCTGAACACAAAACGAGATTATGGACCCAAAGCACAAAGTGAAGCATTTGTGTCTAGTAAGTGTGTAACAGATGACCCCCATCACCAACACTATCCTCACGTTCTGTGCCAGCTAGTACACATATCCTAGTCTCTACACACAGTCTTTGGGTGGATCCGTGACAGTGTGACTGCCCTTGTACACAGAAGAAATAAGAGACCTCTTCTCTTACTACACTAGTCAGTCTCTGTCCTCTGGGTTTAATGAGGCACAGGATAGCACAGTTATTGAATGAGTGGTGTTAAGGTTGTGTGGTTGAATCTTCTGTATCTGTTCTGCCCATTTTCCCTTGTAATGTCTAGATCTTGCCCTGCAGAGCCTTCATGTATAATGAAAGATCCCTCTGCTCCACGTCTTCAGTGTGAAGTTGATTCACTCCTGTGTTGTTTATGTGGCTGCCTGAGAGCAGTATCCTTTAAGGAAGAAAAATATTTTTTAAAAAACTTCCCTTTTTAGACTTATTTATTTAATGTGTATGGGTGTTTTGCCTGCATGTATGCCTGTGAGTCACATGTGTGCCTGGTGCCAGCAGAGTTCAGAAGAGGAAATCGGATCCCCTAGAGCTGTGAGCCGTCGTGTGGGTGCTGGGAACCAAACTGAGGTCCTCTGCAAGAACAGCCATTGTTCCTTAAGGCAACGCCGTCCCTCCAGCCCCCTCCTTTAGGAAGAAGGTATATGTTAGTGCAAGATGCTGCCAAAGCCGAGTGTGTCAGTCTTCCAGTGAGGAACTGAGTGATAGCAAAGGTTTCTCAATGAGATGCTGTGTATCTGATAGGGGTGTGGCCAAGGAGAGCAAAGAGAGGGTGGGGGTGAGGGCATCCGGAAGAGTTCCAGTGTCTGTCTCAGAGCAGCAAGCTAAGGACAGAGAAATGGAATTGAATAAGCACCGTGGTTTTCACTCAAAAGCCCTTTCAGGACTAATTGACTTTTACGCTGTATTCTCTTTTTCTCTTTCTCTCACTTTCTTCTTCTTTCTTCTTTTTCTGTTTTTTGGGGGATTTGTTTTGTTTGGTTAGATAGGGCCTCATGTATCCCAGGCTGGCCTCAAAACTGTAAGCAGCCTGAGGATGACCTTGAACTTCTGATCCTCCTGCCTCTGAAAAATTCTGTCTGAAGCCAGATAGATGTGTGTTTGATTCCTGGAGCAACCCTTTCGCCATCTTTGTAACCCTAGGATCTGCACTATAAGCTTCCTGAGGCTCCACTTCCTCAGTTGAAATGTGAGGCAAATACTTCATGAACTGTCCTGTCTGACGGGCTTTAGTGACTGAAGGAAAACAATACAGGCCAAAAGCATTTACAAGTATGGCACACAGGCAAACCCTCGGTGGAAATAGTCTGCTTACTTAGATTGTCTGGTTCTCTGCATTTCTTCCAGGACACTCTGACCTCTTACCTCTGATTAGCCACTAAATCCCGGTGGGAACCTAAGCCCCAGGTGTGTTGGCGTGTCTCCTCTCGGCTCTAATGTAGAAAACAAAATAGAGGAACAAAGGAGAAAATGACCTGCAAGTCAGTTCCTTAGGAAAGTTGGCTTGAGTGGCAAAGAAGTACCATGTCCCTGTGGGAAGGCAGCGTGAGTCGCTCTCATCCACTAGCAAGCAAGACAAGTTAAAACTGGGCTTCTTAGGAGCTCCCGGACCTCATTTGTGTCCAGAAACATTTCCAGCCTTCAAACCTCAATCCCTTCTGCTACTGTAAGAAGATCCCTGAGCTATACGGTGAAAACTGAGCCCATGGTATTATGATGCTAAACCCAGCTACCTGCCACCCACAGGTGTCCTGCAGCACCTGTGGGGCTGGCCAGCTGCCCACACACTGAGGCACCTGCCCCTTTACCTCCTCTGCCTTGGTGCGGACGTCCCAGCCATGAGCTGCTGAACAGTCTCTGGTGGAGGTTTACTTGTTTAACCACAGAGATTACACTGTGTGCAAAACACGGGCCCAAGCCCTGTGGAGGGTTCAGAGATATGTTTGGTCTCCAAGGAGGAGGCATCTAACAAAAGAGAGACAAGCTATTAGACAAGGAAGTGAACAAGGTGTGTGGGTGGAGAACGGAGTGTGGGCAGCACATGGACCACGTAAGGTCTTGAATTTACACACAGGGAGGCCTCTCCATAGTATCGCAGGGCCTGGGAACTGGTGAGTGCCAGGATCAAGTGGTTCTTAAGTGAAAATAAGTATTTTTCAGATACTGGAATGCTTTAGTCTCAGAGTTCCCATGAAAGAGAGCAGGAAGGGAACTCTGGAAATCTGCCAGTCCTTTCTGAGGAGAATAACATTTTATGAGCAGGGGAACCCTATAATTAATGGTAACACTAGAGAGTGATCGGTAATCGGTGTTCCAGGACAGCAGCCAACATAAGCCAGAACTGGCCCTGGCAAACAGACACACTCTCTGCCTCCTGACAGGTCCTAGGGAATTGTGAAAGAGAATCCAGTGACCTGTGGGCCGGAGCTGATGAAGAGGCTATATTCCTAGCAGTCAGAACACCCAGGACTTACCCAGGTTCAAAACACCTCAGACTACTTTGACGTGAGGTCTCCGGCCACTCTCCGTACATTCACTCGGGGAACCATTTTCTTCAGTGACAATCTCTATTTACCTCTCCAGCTAGAAAAGCCACAGTGACCTTCACCACCTAAGTCCTTTGACCAATCAAGTTACTTAAAGATCAAATCCATACTTACAATTTGCTGAGCTTCTAACTTCTTCTCCATGGAACTAATTTGAAGTTCATTTTGATCTGCCTTCTAGTTGCTACAGTCCTTTCCCTTTAGAGGAGAGCAGCCGCCTCCTCCCTCCCTCCCTTCCTCTCTCCCTCTTCCTTCTTCTCTCCTCTCCTCCCCCCCCCCCAGGCAATATTCCAAAGTCCCTTCTCAGCCTAGGAAGTAATGAAAGATCTGGACAAAGTGGCTTACACATTAATGTCAGCACTTAGAGGATGTTGAGGCAGGTGGATTGCTGCAAGTTGAAGATCAGCCTGGATTGCAGAACGAGACCCTGTACCAAAGAAAAGCAAAGAAAGTATACTGGTTGGTTTTGTGTGTCAACTTGACACAAGCTGGAGTCACCAGAGAGGAGGAGATGCCTCCATGAGATTCAGCTGTAGGGCATTTTCTCAATTAGTGATCAATGGGGGGGGGGGACCCAGATCATAGTGGGTGTTGCCATCCCTGGGCTGGTGGTCCTAGATTCTATAAGAAAGCAGTCTGAGCAAGTCAGGGGAAGCAAGCCAGTAAGCAGCATTCCTCTGCATCAGCTCCTGCCTCTAGGATTCTGCCTGTTAGTGTTCCTGTCCTGACTTCCTTCAGTGATGAACAGCAATGTGGAAGTGTAAGCCAAACAAGCCCTTTTCTCTCCAACTTGCTTTTGGTCATGGTGTTTTGTCATAGCAATAGAAACCCCAAGACCGAAGAGGGAGGGGAGGGGAAGGAGGAGGAGGAAAAGCAACAACAGCAGCAGGGCCACCAATGCCGTCTTGGCCATACATTTATTAAGCAAATAAATTAGCTTTTGGTGAGAGAGGCAAGCTCTTGCTAACAGGCATGTCTACACTGTCTTGGGCTGTTTTCTCTTCAAAGGCACAATTTACAAATAAAAACTTTATACCTTCTTTAGTAACCTGTCTTTTCCACCAAGCTATAGTCTTCCAGAGAAGATAAATTGCCTTCTATGCTCACCATTCACCCTAAATTGGTTGGGCCATCTCCCTGTTCTCTAACGAGTAAGCACAAGAACATGAAGGAAACAGTGTCGTCCCCTCAACGCCTCTGGCTCTCACTAGGTTCGCTTTGGGGCCTTACACACACAGCAACTTCTCCTTCATTTCTGACAAAGCCTCTTCCTCTTGGCTGCACAGCTAGGAGCCGCTTACGCCTTCCCTTTCCGTTTCTCATCCTTTCCAGACAGTTCATCCCATTGATTTAACTGCAACAGGTCTTGTGACCTTAGCCACACCAGGAAAATATGGCCCAGACTCCTCTCTCGTCTCTAACATTGTTGCTCTGCAGTGGTTTACAGGAAATGCCCCCGTTCTCCGCAAAGCCTGTCTCATCTCAGTTGGGTTCCCAGTTTTCTTCACTGCCACATAAAAGCTACTGCTTTATGAACAGAAACACCCACAATCCTACTGGTGCCAGGATGTGTTCATTTCTGACAGTCTCCCATGAGCACGTGCCTTCTGGAACGTCACTGATGCTGGCATTTTACACTGGGTGCAAGTTAAATGGTGGCATTACCTGGTTCATCTGGTTGTTTCTTCTTGCCTCAAATCAAAATGGAAAACTATCCTTTTCTTAAATTAATTAGATCAGCATCCCACCTATCAGACTATGGTGCTCATGTTGCAGAAAGAGAGGGTTGTGTCTGGGAGTGGTAGACTAAGATGAATTTTTAAAGACACAATTATGAAATAAAATCAGGGCAACTCTCAGCATAAATTAAATACATAGAATCTGAATACAGTGAACACATAAATCCAAGCTCTCAAAATGTTAACGTCCCATCTGCCTCCTCTCCTGTTACCACAGAAACCAAATGACCGTGATCACAAAGTGAGACTAGCCCTGGGAAATGGCTTACGGGGAGATGTGTGGAAAGAGTTTATCAAGAGATTTGGGGACATTCATGTTTATGAGTTCTACGCTTCCACGGAAGGCAATATTGG